CCCATCCCTGGAAGTGTTCCAGGCCAGGCTGGATAGAGCTTGGAGCAACCTGGGCTAGTGAGGCCAGCGAGTCGAAGAAGGTGATTCTCCCCTTCTATTCTGCTCTTGTGAGGCCCTACCTGGAGTGCTGCACACAGCTCTGGTGCCCCCAACAGCAGAAGGACATGAAAGTGTTGGAGCAAGGACAGAGGAGACCACAAAGCTGATCTGTGGTTCTGTGCCACAGTGGTGTGATGTGGGGTTAGAATTCCAGCAGCTCTGCATGTCTTGCACATAGTCCCCAGTGATGTTTACAAGCCACCATAAGGGCATGCTGGCAAGTAATCCTGCAATGGGCCTAGCCTACACCCTCTGAGGCAATTTGTGCTCTCCTCAAAGCAAGTTGCCACAGTAGCTCTGCTGCCAGTACAGTCTGAGCTCAGGTCTGCATTGCCATTGTGGCAGTTTAATCTGCTTTCAAACCTGTGCAAGCAGGAGAGTGAGTTCTGATTATTAGGGTACAGTTTTTTTGTGGGATATGACTTATGGATGCACCTGCACTGGGGACAGTGACAGCTGTCCTCAGCCATCCTGCACCATGTCAGTGTCCTTCAGTCCCCAGTCATTATTCCTACAGCTCTGGCAGTGAGCTGCTCCCATGGGTACACCCCTTAGAGTCACAATGAGCAAGGTTTGCATCAAGATTTACACTGTACATGTTTGCTAAGCTCATTTTCAGTCAAGTGGCTAAAAAGATGCTCCCAGCAGGAAGGCACCACTGGCAGGCAGCAGCAGGCAGCTGAGGTGATAATTTCTTCCCCTGGGGCAGCTGAATCAGGAAAAAGGCATTTGTCTACACCAGTTTAAACTGGTTCAAGGGCATCTGTACAAACTGTGCAGCTTCCTGTGGCCATGGGGCTCTAGTGCTTTGTGTAGATCAGAAAACAAAGGCAATTGGCCCCATCCTGAACTTGCTGTGGTCTCCATTCAGCAAGGGAAGGGCACAGCCAGCCCTCAACACATTGATTGTTCTTCTAGTCTGGTCTCTCTTTCTGCTCAGACCAAACTTTCTTAGACCATTTCCTTTATCAAGCAGGATACAATTAGCAGGAAATTCCTCGGGTGGATTTCCTATGCTGTGATAATCCACAGCATTCTGACGTGTTGGTCAGGGAGAGGGGCTGGGGGGTTGAAAGCAGTTTGCAGAATCAGGAAATTGAAGCAAGAGAGAGGAATTTGTCTCCTTTTTAATCTGCTTATTATAAGGTATTTTTGTGTAAAGCTTGGCCCTTGACAGGCACATCAAAGCAACTTTGCAGAGGAGGATGTGAGGCTGTGCTGTGCATTTGTCCTCTGCGTGATGCAGAGGAATCCCGTAGGGCTGCATCTCCTCAGCCACAGAATGGCTCCCTCAGGGTTTGCACAGCTGCATCTCAGTTAGAATTTGGCTCTCTCTCATTGCTTTGGTGCAGAAGCCTGTTTTGTTTGTGAAACAAAACAGCAAGAGATCTCTGTTAGCAGTGTGGCAGCAGCAGCAGGCCAGGACAAACCCATCCGTGTAGAGATACCAGAGATGTGCTCACCTGTGCAAGCATTTTGGAGACTCCAGATACAACAGTAGATATTTTGGATATTAAAGGGTCCACCTGGGGAAATCTAACTCTATTGCTTTTGTCATTTGGTCCCAAGAGCAACAACAAGGGATAACTTTTTCATTTATTGTGCCTTAAATGATCTGTGTGATTGTCTGGTGCTGTAGCTCCTGTGTGTACACAGCTAAGCTGGGAACTGTCCCCTCCAGGTGGAAAAGGACACTGTTGGGATGGTCCAGGATCATGTCTGCTGGGTCATGCTACCTGTTCTTTCTGAATTTAACAGTAAAATGAAAGTCAACCATACTACTCAAAGATACCTGATGCCACAGCCCCACCAGGAGCAAATCTGCTCTGGCCCTAAGGCTGTGTTGTGAACGGGGCTGTCTGTGGAGCAGTCAGTGCAGTGTTTTGGTGTAAAGATGGTGAAGGGAAACAGGCAGTGTGGTCAGAGCAGTTGCTGGCCCTGCCCTGTGACAGAGGGACTACAGTCTTTTCTGTAGTCCCTCAGCAAGCAGTGACACTGTGCATCACTGGCAGCAGAGGTGATGTCTCACCCTCATTCCCATCCGTTGACTGCTCTCACCTATACAGCCACTTCATCAGCATGTCCCAAATTTGTTCTGGTGGTTTGTACTGTAGTTGGAAGGCACAAACTGGAACAGAAGAGTCCTGTGTGTGCACAGTCCCAAAGCCCTTACCTGCCACCCAGGCCTGAGCCTGCAGATGCCACTGATGTCTTCCCATTCCCTGGGTGCAGATCCCCATGGGGAAGCAGAACACCTCTGTGTTTCTTCGTTAGCAGTATCTTAGTTTTCCCACCCATGCCATTATCCCCAAACTGTCTCACAGCTCACAGACAGATCAAAGTGAAACCCCAGAACATGGGTGAAGCTCGTGACTGAATATTTCAAACCAGTATTTTCCACGCTTCCCTTTTCCCAGGTTACCTTTGGCAGACTCCAGCCATCTGTTGTTTGCCTCTGGATAAGGGCTATGCTCCAAAACCCAATTGCCTCAAGAGAGAGAATAGAATAGAGTCATTTAGGTTGGAAAAGACCTCCAAGGTCATTGAGTCCAACCTGTGACCCTTCACCACCTTGTCAACTAGACCAGAGCACTGAGTGGCACGTCCAGTTGTTATGGAGAAGGAAATTGTGGGCACCTGGAGCAGCCATAGGAGAGCTGCCAGTGCTTATTTTGGGATGTTTCACAAAATGTAAACTCAGAGTGGCAGAACTACAGAAGCTGGAAGGATCAGTGGGAGGCAGCAGGCAGCTTTCCCCTTTCCCAGCTGTCATTCCAGGCTTTCTGCACATCCCTCAGCTACACTGCACCTTGATCCTGAGAGAGTAGTGGTAGAAAAAACAGTTTTATTTAAATAACTGAAATCCTGGAGCCCAGCTCTGCAGCACTTGGCAGAGTCCATGACTGAGATAGTTATCATCTGTGATGCACAGTCTGTGATCACGTGGCTGTGGTTACTCTAACAAACCACATCCCCTCTTGGCCTACATGGGAGGAAAGGGCTTTCCTGCTGTTGGGTGACCTGAGTGTGGTGGGAGGCAGGAAGAGGAGGAAGGCAAGGACAGGCAGGTAGAGGGGAACTAAAGGTGAAATCAGTCATGGAGAAATTCAGTGGGATGAGGCAAAGGCAGAAATATGCCTGTTGTGATTGTATAGACATAACTAATACAGTGACCCTGTTAGGGGACACGTGCACCCCAGAGCTCTGCCTGACTCTCCTCTCCTTCCCACAGCCACCAAGCTGCCTACAGAACAGGAGCACTGTCCTCCAGGCCAAGGCTCTTCCCTCGTGCTGACAGCTGCCGCAGGAGCCCCGAGCCTGTTTCGCTGTGCTCTTGCACCTTCTGGGACAGGATCATTTCGAAGAGAGTGCTCATCTCAGAGAGGAAGGTGCTGGCCAGCCTCGTCCCAGTGCTGTTGGAGTCAGCCCCAGCACCTTTGCCAAAGGTCTCAAAGGTCCTTGGTTTCTCCTGCCTTGCAGCTTCTTCATCCTGAGGGGATTGTGAGGAGTTGGGGGAGAAGACGTTGTCCTTGTAGCTGCTGGTGAGGGGCAGGGACAGCCTGGCCATCCATGCTGGGTCCACAGCTGTCAGCCTCTTGAGGGCCAGCTCTAGGGGAGTGAGCATAGGAACCATGGATGAGACATGCAGCAGAGGAGACCACAGGGGAGAAAGGGGGGGGAATATGAAATAAATAAAAATACTGAGAAATGAGACGTTCTCCTGAAATCACCTGAGAGCACTACTAACTGCAGACAGGTCTACAGATGAGCTACCAGCAGTATCATGCAAACTAGCAGCTTAAAAACAGCCAAACAAACTAGAAGTGATTTCAAACTACTGGTTTGTTGGTTTGTTTTTATCTAATGACCGTTGTAATCACTTTGCTTTCTCATTTGTTGCAGCCTCGAGTGGCACTTGACTAAATTGTTAGCTAAGCCAGGGAGAGGGAAGGGTTAGGCCTGGCTAAAGGGGAGCTGACAATGGAAAGCTTTAGAGGGGGAAGTATTGGACACAAAGATAGTGGACTTCCCTTCAGGGTCACTCCAGGGTGGGACTTTGCTGCTTAGCAGAGGCTGAGACTGAAAAGAACTGGGTCATTGTGAAAGCAATAACAGCAGAATGCAATTCTGCATTATAACCTGCACAGCTGGGTGGTGGGAGACTAGCAACCAACAATTGGGCTGTAAAGTAGTTGTTCCTCAATTGGAAACAGCTGAGGAGCAGTGGGAGCCCTGTGTGGGGGCTGGGGCAGGCTTATTAGTGGAGCACTAATGTGATTCTGCCCCAAAATGGGCAACTGGAATGATACAGTGTGTGGAGCAAGGTATTCCCTGCTGGCATGAAGGTACAGCCATGGTATATTGTTACTGGCTCTGGTAAGATCTGATGAGGCGAATTAACTACAAATGTGATTATCCATCTGTAGGAGAGAGGAGCTGAAATGACACAAGTGCAGGGACAACTCTGGAGATGAAAACACCAGTGATCCAGGCTAACCCCAAGAGGTGGAAGTTGCTGCTCCTAAGGAAGCAAGTGCTCTCCAGGGATCTGCCTGCAACCTGTTGTTATTTTGAGGAGATAAGCCCCAACAAAGGAAATCTTGATGCTTTAAATAGTGTTGGCAAAAGAAGAAGTGATTATAACTGTCCATGAATAAACAGCTACTGGAAAATAAAGGAAGGACCCCAGAGCAGGGAGAGCCTGGAATAGCTTCCTCACCAGACAGTAGGAAAGGAAATGGGAATTCTTGGTTTTGAAGTGAGTTGGTAAACAAGAGGCCGTGCTGTGGTGCACAGAGGCTGCCCCAGCCCTACACTGTTTCTTCCCAAAGTTAGCCTAGATCTTTGGGGGTTGGAAGTGACCCCCTGGCCTATGAAAGGCTTTGAGAGCAGCAAAGCAAGTCACTGGTGTCTGGTGCCAACACAGCGATGCCAGGGGGGCAAGAGCTGGTGGCACTGTAGTGTTTCAGTGGCTCTGCCTTACACAGTGACCTCTGGAAGGAGGGTCCCCGTTCCAGCAGCAGTTACTCTGCTGCTTCCAGAGGGTAATCAGTGCCCTGCCACAGCCTGGGACACAAGGTGCTCAGTCAGTGCCTGAGCCAAGACTCCTTCCTCAGCCAACTGAGCACTCAGGCCTTTTTCTCTGGAAAAAAAACTGTCCTGGGGTGGGATGAGTATGAGAGGTGGGACTCAAACCTGGGAAGGAGAGAAGGGCAAGTACATCACGTAGATTTTTGTGTCAGCTGAAGCCCCAAAATGCTTTTTCCAGGCTTTCTCTCTGCAATCTCAGTGTTGTCTTTGAGTCACAGTGACTGTTCCTCAACACATCACCCCAGTGTGCTGCAGTCCTGTGGTTCTGCTCTAAAATGTCCTGTTCTTTCCTCCCCAGTATGCAAGAAGCCACTGCATTCCCTGAAGATTGGGATGCCCCACGTCTGGAGCAGGGCACAGCTAGTGTGCTCACTGCAGGGAGACCCACGACTCAGTGGGCTGATGGTCCTATGGCCATGAAACCTTATAATTAGTTGTGTTTAATTTGACCAATTACTCTTTACTGCCTTATTTTAATGGTGTTTTGGGAGCAGAGGTTGTTTTTATGATCACTAAAGTTCTCTCCTCTGCTGCTGGGAGCAATGTGCTTAGCTGGTGGGGGCTCAGTGTTAGCAGAGAGTGCTGAGAGTTCATCCCACAGCACAAACACTCCCAGAGCTGCCTGGGATGGATTAGTGCTGCAGTTCCCCCGCTGGGAGCACCACAAAGGCCCAGACAGGCTGAGCCAGCTGTTAGGATACTCCTGAGCACAAGCCATGCTTCCTTCCTCCCTCTCAGGATGCAAGTCCACGTCTCTGTTTGTGTTTGGGAGAGGAGGAAGGAGCACAGCAGCTCTGGTCTGTGCTCTGTCGCCTTGTTGGGAAGGTCTGGGCTCGTGGTGAGGGTTTGTCACCACTGAAACTGAGCAGCTGCTTAGGGCACAGAATCATGGAATCATCAAGGTTGGAGGAAACCTCTAAGATCATAGAATGGCAGAATTTTAGGGGTTGGAATGGACCTTTGAAATCACCCAGCCCCAACCCCCTGCCCTGGGCAGGGACACCTCCCACCAGAGCAGGTTGCTCAAGGCTTCATCCAGCCTGGCTCTGAACACTGTCAGGGTTGGGGCAGCCACAGCCTCCTTGAGCAACCTGTGCCAGTGTCTCACTGGGTCCTGTCATTTTGCACTCTCGCTGGTACCAATACTGTATGATTGTAAAAAAGATAGGAATGGTTTAGTTTATCATACTGAACTTTGTGTAATCTATGTTCCTTTTTCTTGTATGGCTCACACAGTTCCTTGG